TGCCTCGCCCGGGAAGAGTGCAATGATGGTGCCAACTTGGGCCAGTGAAGCAATGTCCTCCACAACTAGACTGAAGAACAAAAAGACAGCAACTTATCTGTTCCCCTTCCCCCAATTCCCCAGCGCCGTTCCCATCCCCCAATTCCCCAATAAAAATCTTTAAAAAAACACACAAAAAAACACTGGTTCAGGAACCATCAGAACAGAACAGCCTATACCTGCTCTTCCTGGGCCTCCGTGAAGCTGTTCACCATCCAGGATTCCTATTCTGTTTCTTTTAGAGGATGTTATTCTGCCCAGTTCAAGATTTCTCTCTCTCTCTCTCTCTCTCTCTCTCTCTCTCTCTCTCTGTGATTTTAAGCTGTGAAAATTAAATGACACCTATCTCCCACCCATATTGTATCAGTCCATTTTACTCACTGCATCTGGAGTGATGGGGGTGGGACCATGGAAAGATGGAGATCTAGGACTCAAGTATCTTTTCTGTGTCCCCAAGGTGGAAATTATACCACCTTGTACTTGAATTTGGAGAGCAAGACCTTTACATATATTATCTCCTGGAGATTCATTTAGAAACACCCGAAGGAATTAAAGGAATAGTTTTCAGATACCTAAGCATTGTATCACTGATGGCACCTCTCGCATAAATAGGGAAGTCATTATCAGGTCATTAATTTGAAATTAAGTAGGTGACTGGCTGTTATGGTGCTTGCCCAGTGATGACACACCGTGCCCAGATCCCCACACCCTTCTCTTGGGGGAGGGAGAGGAAAATGTAGCTGTGATTCCTACCAGTAAGGACCTTCACATCTGGCTGAGAAGCCAAAACACAATCAAGAAAAACTATAATAGAAGATATTTCAAGTGAGGGTTGGTGTTGAGAGCAGAGAGGCCCTTGACTGAACTGCAGCCTCTTTGTGGAAAATGGTGGGCAGAGCATCTTCCTAGATCACAGAAAAGGATTAGGGCTAAAGGGCCAAGCTCAGGGCTTGGCCTGTGAAGAGGCAGATGACAGCAGCAATGGTCGCGGCCCACAGGGCCCAGAGACAGGCCCGGCTGGAAAAGCGGGTGAGGTCGTGGGCTCCACCTTCAGCTGGGACCCAGCTTCCTTCATTTCCAAACTTCGGTCATTCACACACCATCTTCACAATTTGCCCTATTTTCATCCCATCGGTTCCATTATTACTTAATTTTTTATATCAGCTTCTTTACAAATACACTTTGAATGACACTTTATATAACTACTGTCAAAAGAGAACTGGCATTTTCCCCCCTGATGTATACTAAACATTGATACATAACAATTTAAACAAGAAGCTCCCTACCGCCTTTCACAGACTCCAGTAGTGAGCGTCTCACGTCAGGGCCTGTTTCCAAGCTTTGTGACTGCACTTGACTTCTTACCCGTTCTCGTCAAACTTCAAACTCACCTTTTCCTCTGAAGCTCTCAGCCATGACCTTTCTCTCTGAATTCACGGTGAACTTCTTCAACTTTCCTTCTCTTCTCTTTAAGATGTCTTTTATCCGCATTCATCTCTGTACTTCTTCTGGAGTCGGAGAATGTATTCTTCCTCCTTTCCAATCATTTTGCCTTTGCCCCCTTTGTTTATTCGTTCAACAAACAGCCACTGGTCACCTATTCCAGGCCATTCTTCTCCTCACGGAGCTTACACTACACCAGTGGTTTTCAACCAGGGTGATTTCTCCCAGGGGACATTAGGCAATGTCTGGAGACCCTTTGCTGTCACATATAAGGGAGGGGATGCTACTGGCATCTAGTGGGTAGATGCCAGAG